TGGGAGGGACATGGGGACATTGGGGACATTGGGGGGACACTGGGGACATTGGGGGGACACTGGGATGGACATGGGGACATTGGGGACATTGGGGGGACATTGGGGACATTGGGGACATTGGGATGGACATGGGGACACTAGGGACACCCTGCCGGACACTGGGGACACACGGCCACCGTGCCACCAGGACGGGTGGACTTGGGGACCCCAGCGCAGAAGGGGACACGGTGGCCCCGGTGGCAGGTGGCACAGTGCCAGGTGCCACCCCGTGACACATTGGGACGCGTGGCACGCCCGGTGGCACCGCGTGATGTCACGGCGCCCCGGGTCCTTGGCGGGGTGGCCCCGTGTGGCACGGCGGGGTGGGGACAGCCGGGCACCCCCAGGTGACAGTGGCACCCCGGAGCAGCCCAGGGTGGCACCGGGGCCGTGTGGTGGCTCTGGGGACAAATTCCAGCCCGGCAGCGCGGCAGGGAGTGGCAGCGGGTGACACGGGGTGACACGGGTGACACGGGGTGGCACACAGCGTGGTGGGACACGGGGGGTCCCTGGTGCCACGGGGTGTCCGGAAAAGCGGCGCATGTGACATGCGTGACGTGTGTGACATGTGTGACACATGCGACACGTGTGGCGTGTGTGACATGTGCCACTTGTGCCACCTGTGCCAGGTGTGCTGTGCCAGGGGGGGTCACACGTGACATGTGTGACATGTGCCACCTGTGCCACCTGTGCCAGGTGTGCTGTGCNTGTGCCACCTGTGCCAGGTGTGCTGTGCCAGGGGGGGTCACACGTGACATGTGTGACATGTGCCACCTGTGCCACCTGTGCCAGGTGTGCTGTGCCAAGGATGTCACACGTGTGACACATGTGGCGTGTGTGACATGTGTGACATGTGCCACCTGTGCCAGGTGTGCTGTGCCAGGGGGATCCCAAGGGTGCCCAGGTGGGGGTTGGTGACCCAGGGGTGTCCCAGATGTCCCAGAAGTGTCCCAGAGGTGTCCCAGGTGACCCAGGGGTGTCCCAGGGGTGTCCCAGATGTCCCGGGTGTCCCGGGGGTCTCCTGGATTTGTTCCAAGTGTCCCTGAAGTGTCTCGGGGGTGTCCCAGGGGTGTCCCAAGGGTGCCCAGGCGGGGGTTGGTGACTTGGGGATGTCCCAGGGGTGTCCCAGGGTGTCCCGGGGGTGTCCCAGGTGTCCCGGGGGTGTCCCAAGGATGTCCTGGATCTGTCCAAACTTGTCCCGGGTTGTCCCAGGGGTGTCCCAGGGGTGTCCCAGGAGTCCTGTGGGAGTCCCGGGTGTATCCCAGGGGTGTCCCAGATGTCTCCCAAGTGTCCCGGGGATGTCACGGTTGTGTCTCAGGGGTGTCCCAGGGGTGTCCCAGGTGTGCCAGGTGTGTCCTGGATTTGTCCCAGGTGTCCTGGGGTTGTCCCAGGGGTATCCTGGATTTATCCCAGGTGTCCCAGGGGTGTCCCAGGTGTGCCAGGTGTGTCCTGGATTTGTCCCAGGTGTCCTGGGGGTGTCCCAGGGGTTTCACAGGTGACCCAGGGATGTCCTGGGTTTGTCCCAGCTTGTCCCGGGGGTGTCCCAGGGGTGTCCCAGGGGTGTCCCAGGTGACCCAGGGATGTCCCGGGGGTGTCCCACCTTGTCCCGGGGGTGTCCCAGGTGTCCTGGGGGTGTCCCAGGGGCGTCCCAAGGGTGTCCCAGGGGTTTCACAGGTGACCCAGGTATGTCCTGGGTTTGTCCCAGCTTGTCCCGGGGGTGTCCTGGTGCTGTCCCAGGGCTGTCCCAGGTGTTTCACAGGTGTCCCAGGGGTGTCCTGGGTTTGTCCCAGCTTGTCCCGGGGGTGTCCCAGGGGTGTCCCAGGGGTTTCACAGGTGACCCAAGGGTGTCCTGGGTTTGTCCCAGCTTGTCCCGGGGGTGTCCCAGGGCTGTCCCAGGTGTCCCAAGGATGTCCTGGGTTTGTCCCAGCTTGTCCCGGGGGTGTCCCAAGGGTGTCCCAGGGGTTTCACAGGTGTCCCAGGTGTGTCCCAGGTGTGTCCCACGGGTGTCCCAGGTGTCCCAGGGGTGTCCCGGGGGTTTCACAGGTGTCCCAGGTGTGTCCCACGGGTGTCCCAGGTGTCCCAGGTATCCCAGGGGTGTCCCGGGGGTTTCACAGGTGACCCAGGGGTGTCCTGGGTTTGTCCCAGCTTGTCCCGGGAGTGTCCCAAGGGTGTCCCACGGGTGTCCCAGGTGACCCAGGGGTGTCCCAGGTTTATCCCAGCTTGTCCCGGGGGCGTCCCGGTGCTGTCCCCCGCTGCGGCGGGGCCGTCGCGGGCAGCGGGGCCGTGCCCCGCGGGGTGAATGAATCGTTAACCCGGGCCAATCTCAGCCCGGGCCAATCAGGGCCTGGGCCCCGGGCGGGTTTTACAGCCCCGCTTGTCCCCACGCCGTCCCCGCGGCCGGCGGCGCCGTGAGCCCAGTGGCAGCGCCGCCGTCCCGGCCGCACCATGGCCCGGGCCTGGCTGCTGCTGCTGGCGCTGCCCGCCGCGCTGGCCGCGCCCGCGGGGCCGCTGTCCCGGGCCGGGCCCGGGCTGGCGCTGGCGGGCCTGGAGGCGCTGGTGGCGTCGGGCGAGGGACAATTGTCGCGCGGGGCGCTGCGGGCCCTCGTGGCGCGGGCGGCCGGCCGTGCGCAGTGCCCGCGCGGGCCGTGCGGAGAGGTGAGACCGCGCCCGGGACAGCGGCGGCCGCGGCGCGGGACAAAGGGCGGCTGGCACGGCGGGCGCGGGGCAGGCACGGCCGCGGGCGTGGCACCGGCGGAGCGGGGCAGCGCTGGCGCCTGTGTCAGCTGCGGCACCGGTGCTACCTGTGCTACCTGTGGCACCTGTGGCACCTGTGACACCTGTGTTACCTGTGGCACCTGTGTTACCTGTGCTACCTGTGCTACCTGTGGCACCTGTGGCACCTGTGTTACACCTGTGTTACCTGTGTTACCTGTGTTACCTGTGCTACCTGTGCTACCTGTGGCACCTGTGACACCTGTGTTACCTGCGGCACCTGTGGCACCTGTGGCACCTGTGGCACCTGTGGCACCTGTGCTACCTGTGT